AACAATTATAGAAGTAATCACAGAAGCAATAAAAGAAATTACCCCAGTATTCAAAAAAGTCTTATATATGGAATATATAGATGAATGTGATAATTTTATGGAATGCTAGATAAGCCATGACATGATAGACCAGGACAAACTGGAGGAGGACAAGCTTTTTGCATTAAAAATAGTATACAACATAAAGAAATAAAGCTTAGAGATAGACATAAATAAAATAGAAGCAATGGGAATAAGAATGTCATAAAAACAACTGGACAATTATTCTATTAATATACAACCAATGTAATAACCTAAGACAAAATGAAATACATTACACAGAACAAAAAAAATGAGCCCAAATTAATAACAGAATAACAAATGCTGGAATCTGAAACTGAATATAAAACACACAAGCAAAGCAGGTAAAAGTTTATTCAAGGTAATGTCCGATAATAACATCATTTCATGTTAGTCAAACCACAAGAATAGACCCCAGAAATGCAAAGGAATCAACATTAGACTTAGTTCTAGCATCTCTTATAATAAGTCACTTACAAGTAGATACAGGACCCAACCTTGGTAGTGATCATTTATCAGTAATAATAAGAGATGACACCATACTCAAGTCTCCTCAATTAACAGAAACAAAATGGAAATTTACGAATGAAGCATGGATAAATTACCAATAAGAGCTAAATAAATTACCAATAAGAATTAAATAGAACTTTTACAACAAATACAAATTCCCTAAGAGGAATAATAGATCTTATAAATGATGCTGGGAAAAAAGAAATTTTGAATTTGACAAATATAATAAAAAAGTTAAACCTAATAAGACATGGTGGGATGCAAAATGCAAAGAAATTGTAAAAGTAATAAATAAACACTATAATAATGGGAAAAAAGGCAAAATAATAAAAATCTATCTGAGCATAAAAACTTCACAAAAGCTAAACAAATTATAGAGAAAGAATAAAGAGAGTCCTGGGAAACTTTTTTGCACCTTATTAGATTTTAATTTCCCACTAAAAAAGAAAAGAAAAAAAAAAAAAAAAAAAAAAGAAAAAGAAGAAAAAATATATATATATATATATATATATATATATATATATATATATATATATATAATATAGAAGAAGAAAAAAAATATATATATATATCAAAAGAAGAATATCAAAATATAGTAAATAAACACAGAAAATGCTGACAGATAATGAAAGAAAAGAACTTCTAAACCACTATAAAATATTCACAGATGGTTCAAATCTAAAAAAACTTGATCAACATCCTTTGCTATTTATGTAAAACAAATGAAAACAACAACAATTTGGAAAATAGAACCAGATTTATTTGCAATAAAACAAACAGTAACCTTTGCAGACTCATTCTCAGCAATATTAATACTGCAAATCAAATATGAAACATAAAAACAAATTTACATTTTAACAAATCAAAACCAAAATGTCACAATACAATAGATTCCAGCACATAAAAGCATTTTAGGTAATGAAATTACAGACCTTGCAGCAAAGAAAGCTCATGAATTAGATAATTCCACAGCCGTAACCCAAGACACTAACAACATAATATATGAGATAAAAGAAAAAAAGAAAAAGACAATGAGAAAAACTGTTAAAACAAAACTGATCACAAAAAAATACATCTCAAAGACAACACCCCATAACCACGGTCCAGATCAGAAAACAGAAAACTAGACGTACATCTCACAAGAATCCTGACAAAACACAAGACTAAGAAAACACCTAAATAGACTAAAACTTGAAACAGACTCAAGCTCCAGATGATGCTACCATCCAGAAGAAACAATCAAACACATAACACTCCAGTGCCCACGACTTCACTCGCAAAACTAAACTAACAGAGGCACTATAAAAGATCAATACAACTAATCCAAATATCTCTTTATTATCATCCACCAGTTAATAGTTACTACATTCTAAGACACATTATGATCTAATAATGATCAAGAATAATATCATACAAAACTGAAATCAAATCAATAAATAATACAAGAAAACCTTCAGACAACAGATAGAAGACTCCAGGAAACAAAATCTCGGGAATATAGACACAAAAAGTCTAAAACCTTATAAGAGAAAGAACAAGAAGGTATGAAATAAGATTTAAGATTTATGGTTTTCCCTTTACTTTACTCTATAATAGTAACAATAAAAATTATAATGATGACAATGTGGCATGACCATAAACAACAACACTTGCCTCCAACATCACCCTTCATTTTGTTGGATTACAGGGGACACTGCCTTCTTTATAGGATATCATAGTGCTCCTCAACTCCTATGCATACTATATGGAACAAGGTAAATTTTGCCTGTAAAGGTCAAAAAGACAAAAAAAATAAGACATTTTCTATTGGTGGTATTTCCCCACAAATTGATGGTTAATCTTTATGGTTTGGACACAAGCGCTGGCAAAACGAGTATGATATTCTTGTAAAAGACAAAAAGTGACATGATCAGTACAAGAAATACTCCGCAGACACAAATGGCAATGCCACAAGTAAAGGAAAGAGATTATGGAAAGCACTGTTTGGTGCTCTAGAGTTTTTGCTTTATCTTGTCATGCAAACTGAGGAGAAGACAATGCTTGCCAGAGGGTGGTAGGGGGACAGCACCCAAAGGGTACACCCAGTAAAAGCAATTCATATTGTTAAATAAAGTTTGTAATGTGGATTCTTTGGCATGAGCAGCCGTAGTGTAAAGAATTCCCAAGATAATAAGAAAGTTGTAAAACATATAATACTTGGTATATATTTCTTTCATTTATTGGTAAATATGAGGCTGATGCAGTTTAAATGATGATATATCCTATTTGATTTTTACCGCTCTATAAGATGGTGGTGGCCATTTCCCTTTATATATGTGCGTCACTAGAAGTAACTTATACTGGTTTTACGTTCATACAGAAACATCTGTGGATAATAGGGATGCAGTCACTTTGTAAATAATTAACAATACTTATAACTTTGTAATTTGGGTAAGTGAATAACTGAAACACAAATTTATAATTGTAAGGTTGGATGGTTGTGAAGCTAAAAATTTACCTATCAACCATTCTTTCGATTACCAATAGCATCCATATGCCCTCACTGTTACATATGTAACCAATACACATAATTATATTAATCGGTAATGAGTTCTGTTAACTCACCATGTACATACAAAGTTAAGGTGCTGTCACACTAGTACTTTTTCCGTCAAATTTTTGACAATTTTCTGAAATTTTGTCCATTTCTGAGCAAATTGTTGATTTTCCAGTCAGATGATTATGATCACTCTGTCTGAAAACCTTTCCGTCAACTATACCAGCCAAGCATAGTCAAATCAAGAGCTATATTCGAGAATGTTTGTATTTACATAAAACAAAGTTGTCAAAAAATTGACGGAAGAAGTGCTAGTGTGACAGCACCTTTAAACAATTCTGTCTTTCTTTCAAATTCTTTATTGGTCATATAATATTGGCACAGGATAGTTACGGCAGCCCTATTCACTTATCCATATTCTAGAGTTATGGCAGTCCACTGGGCATGTGCATAATCTGGTCACTTTGACAATTACGTTTGATGAGGCATTTTCCCATTTCCAACCGAACCTAACCAACCAACCAACCTAAATGGTTTGGTTGGTTAGGTTAGGTTGATTAGGTTATGCTTGGTTAGGTCGATTTGGTTAGTTAGGTTAGGTTGGTTAGGATTGGTTAGTTAGGTTAGGTTAGTTAGGAGTGGTTGGTTATTCGCGTCGCCCGTAGAAAGCGAACCCAGAATCCAAACATGCATGCATATCCTCAAAAGGCACTGCCGTTACAATTGACAGTGCGTATAATAATATCGGTGTAACTTACTCTCATCACTGCTGGCTTTCCTTTTCCTTACTCCTCCACCTGGTCTGCTCGTCTTCTTAAATAGAAACTTGGTTGTGCTTTCTGCCATTTCTGTGGCGTCTTTAAACTACTGACATTCAATAAAACTATGACACTGTGAAAAGTCTGTAACCTGTTTACATGGGTTATGAAAGTTGCCAGTTACCTAAATACAAGCCAAGTCGCTAACATACTCCATGGAAGACTAGTGACTAACTAAATAAATCTCCAATGAACGTTATTTTAAATGGAAATACTGATCTAAAGTGAAATCACATCTAAAGAAAGAAAACCACTTCGAAATAAGCAAGCGAGAGAAAAGTAATGAAATAGTGTACGTCAGGGATCAGTAGTATAAACTATAGTGGCCAACGTTTATATAATATATATATATATATATATATATATATATATATATATATATATATATATATATATATATATATATATATATAATATAGATAGATATCTATATCTATATATATCTATCTCTATCTATCTATATCTATCTATCTATCTATCTATATATATATATATTATATATATATATATATATATATATATATATATATATATATATATATATATATATGGTACAGGTTACGTTTCACACAGCCGCCTTTTAGACGAAAAATAATATATACAAACGATAGAATGAGTGATTCCAGGAAGTTTATCATCTAAGTACTTCAACCGCAACTCAAAAATAAGTTTGTGGACACGCAAGTGTCTGAACCCGTTATAAAAATATTTTAAAAATCGCCATCCGATAGCCCTTCCTTCCTTTTGTAAACAAAACAATGATGCCGTTTCATTTTTGTATATTTATTGCAATAACTGAGTTTCATGCGTGGATAAAGCCCGCATAATGGACAACGAAGGAGACACACACACACACACACACACACACACACACACACACACACACACATATATATATATATATATATATAT